GTCCGTGTCCTGTATTTTCTGTCCCCTGGCGTCTGCCCTGGAGCTCGGAGGAGGGTCCCACAGAGGACAGGGCGCAGCAGGAGCCGGAGGCCGGGGCACGGGACGGGGGGACAGAGGGGCGTCCGCGCGCCAGGGGCGCTTGAGGGGCCCGAAGGAGCTGGAGCGAGGGGCGCGGTGTTGGGGGCGCTGGTCTGCTTCTCCGGGCCCAGCTCAGCGCACGGGGGCGGGGGGGCCGGCAGGGCCCAGGTCGGATGTCACCTCGGGTTCCTCTGCCCTAACCGTGGGTGTCGCCCTGAAGAAACCGTGTGATTCGCTCGCAGGGGAGATTAGCGAGGTCCCACCGGCCTAGTGTCTTAAACCGCGTCTTCCCTCACCTGCGCTGTGCTCCCTGACTCCCTGAGTCCGTCCTGGAACTGGGCGGGGTTCCGCCGCCAGAGACACGTTCCTGGGAAAGGCAAGGTCGCTCTGGCCGCGGCATTCACGGTCTTCGGGGGGAACCAGCGGCCGGGAAGAGACGCACAGACACAGCGGCAGCGGCCGTGTTCTCGGCCACCGCCCCGGACACCGTGAGCCACGAGGAGGTGGGGGGGGCACAGAGACGGCGGCCCCACCTGTGTCCCCCGAGGGCGCGAGCCTCCCAGGGCACCGGGCCCCAGGTGAGCCCCGGGGACCGAGGTGGGGGGACGGGCCCCGGCCCCTCGTCTGCAGAACGTGGGCATTGGCTGGCCGCCGGGACCCGCTCGGTCCGCTGTCCCGTCCCGCTGCCGGGTCCCCTCCCCGGGTCCCCTCCCCGTGTCCCCACCCGGTGTCCCCACCCCGTGTTCCGTGTCCTCACACCGTGTCCCTCACCCTTCCCTGCTCCCGGCTCTCAGCCCGGAGCAGGCCGGGCCAGACGGGGCTGACGGCAGAGGAAAAACACGTCCAAGCCTGTGGAGAAGTTTTATGAGTTTATTCGAGCCCAACTGATGACAATCACCAGGAAGCAAAAGCTCAGCCAGCTGAGAGAACACTCTGGAGCGTGGCAACGTGGCAGCTCACCCCACACGCACGGGAGGGGAGGGGAGGGGAGGGGGAGGGCGAGGGGAGGGGAGGGGAGAGGACAGGGGAGGGGGGCACAGGGACCCGTGGGCGGCAGACGAAGGGGGGGGAAGCAAAGCGGGGAGGAGTCTCCGAGACGGATGAAGAATAAAACGGAGAGACACCCGCTTCCCTCCCTCGGGTGGGGCAGGGTCGTTCACAGGTCCCCGAGGCAACACCTGGGGTGCTGCTGGGGAACCAGATCCCTGGGGGGCCCGGGGCCTCCTGCTTGGGTGGAGGCCGAGCTCCAGGGGTCTGGGAAGGGGCACCCCTGTGACCTGTCTGAGGGGTGTTGTCTGAGGTGCTAGGAGACCGCAGGCAGGCTCAGGGACAGCAGAGGCTGACGCTGGTCAGGGAGGCCACCAGCCTCAGACGTGAGTCTCCCCCCACGACCCGCTGCAGTCAGGGACTCCTGTGTCCGGGCCGCCCTGGGCGGTGATTTCAGCCTCTGAGAGTGTCAGGGCACCCTGCAGCACCCCCACCTCTGCCCTGAGCTCGTCAGGGTGGGAGTGTGCGGGTGAGAGTGTGGCTCCTCCTTAACCCGCAGGACCAGCCGGTTTGGTAACAGAGGAGTGAGCGCAGGGGCCACTGGGGGGTCGAGAGGCCCGCGGGCTGGCGGAAGGACTTCCAGAGCCCTGTCCAGTGACCACTGGGGTCCCTGCAGCGGGGATTCGAACGCCGGCGTCCTGGCTGGGGACCGGAGAAGGGCCGGGAGACCGAGAGCGGCCGGCCGCATGACCCCGGAGGCCCCGGGGCCCCGGGACAGCTGGCCCCCCTCTGCCGGACGTCCACAGGCTGCCAGAGGCGTCCGTCCTGGGTTCTCTGGCTCTTTGGTTCCGTTTCAAGGCCCCAAAGGCCTTGGAGCCTTTTTTGTTTGTTTGCCCCTCGGGGGCGAGGTCGGTCGCTCTCCCACACCCGTGCGGCCGGCGGGGCGGGTGCTCAGGGGTCACAGAGCCGTGCGCACCCCGGGGCACAGCGTCGTGCCGTGACCAGGGCTCGGGCTCAGAAACACCCGGGGCCTTTGAAGCTGCACCACCACGGAGGGAGATGGTCACGTTCTAGTGACTTGGTTCGGTGTGACAGTGTTGGCCGTCCCCGACCAGCCCCGACCTCGTGGATGACCGCGGTGAGCGCGGGGAGTGCACGCCGGGGAGGAGCAGACGTGGCCGGGCGGCGGGAACGCGTGAGGATGCGAAGGGGCACACGGGTGCCCGTGCAAACGCCCTCAAAGCAGCGGCTGCTGGCGCTCCCTCGAACCCCCGAGAAGGACACGCGTGTGAAGGGCTGGGGTGGGGTGGGTGCCGTGTTGGAACAGACAGAGGTGGTGTTCTCACAGCTGCGTGACCGGGGACCGGCCCTGGTGTGTTTTAGGGGCTCGGTTCCGTGTGACCACGGTGCTGGCCCAGCAGCTCTTCCTCCACGCCGCGCAGAGCGGGGCGCACAGAAGCCCCGGAGGACGGGACCCCCCTGCACGTCTCGGTCCCGGAACCGGCCCCGGGGCCCTGGGCGCAGAGGGTGCTTATGGGACAAAGAGAAAGGGCCAGAAGGTGTTTTGGGAGACATCACTTTGCAAACTTTACAGAATCTGTATGAGTATTTGACACAAGAACTTGTGTGACGTCCCAGGTCCTCGATGCCCCGGTTGAGAAGAGGTGAGCAGGTCCCGCCTGTTGTGAGGTGTCCCGACGTCTTCTGTCTTTTTCCTCTGACGACCGAAGGCCCAGAATGCGCCGCCCCCCCAACCCCCGCCCCTCCACCCATTCCGATAATGTTCTTACCCCGAGTGGACTGACCGACGCTGGCTTTAAGTGAGGCACTTAATGTCCAACCCTATTAAAATCTGCAAACACGGCTTGCCTAAGGCAGGCAGAATCTTAATTTAAATTTTAAGTGGAAAGTTAATTGTTTTGTAAATTAATCAGTAACATGGCTTAGCTCTGTTTGCCCGGGTAATTACTTCTCCCCACCGGGCTCCCCTGACTCTCCACGGGAAGGCCCTCTCCGGGGCTCTCGCACCCGCCGTGTGCACGGGAGGGCGTGTGCTCCGATGCGTCACGCTCGTCTGGCCCTCGCCCTCGTAAACGCCCGTCTTCTGACGTGTCGTGCTGGACGTGTTGTGCTGACGAGGCTTTGTTTTAGGGAGGGAGACACCTTATGTCCTCTGTCCTCTGAGGAGGCCCCTGGAAAGCCACACGGTGTGCAGCTTCAGTCCAGAGCCCAGCGGGAGGCCAGGCCGTCGCAGTTGCTGACCCAGTGGGCCCCAGGCAGTGAGGGGGGGGGTGGGCGCTGGGGGTGGCCTCGGGGCCTGAAGACCTGAGGTCCTGCACTGGGGCCAGTTATCCAACCTCCCGAAGTCCCCCTTTCCCAGCCTCTAGAACCGTGAGAAGTTAGCTGCGGCCGAGTAAACCGCCGGCCGACGGTGTTTGTAAAGCCCGGTACACCCCTGGACCATCACCGCGCAGAGAGGAGCTCCCTCTGCGGCGGCGCCGTCGACGGCGAGTCACGGTGAGGGGCGAACGAGGAGGACCGCCCGCCCGCCGGCCGGCCCGTCCCTGAGGGCCGGGACACACAGGGCAGCCGGTCGGCGGGAAGGGCGGACGGGGCAGGGGTTCAAGGGCGTGGCGCGCGGCACAGCGGTGTTTGGGGAGCAGCGCAGCCAGCGATCTGCTGATATGTCCCTGTTTCCCCAGGACGAGACGGTCGGCCAAGGACAGCAGTCAGGGTGAAAGATAATCTCAAAATAAATACAGGTCGGAAACAGGCAGCGCGACAGGAGAAAACACACTCTCTCTCTCTCTCTCTCTCTCTCTCTCTCAACCGGCAACCCCTTGACTGGCGGAAGGAAACACTATCTCAGGCAGCGATGAGATCGTTTGTGGGGACACAGACGAAACAGTGGGCGGCTCCGGACTCCTCGCCGCGGGGACGGGGAGGACAGAGACCGGCGGGACACGTCGTGTTCCGTGTGTCAGGGAGAGCGTGCGCCCGGGTCACGTGGTCGGCACGACCGACTGAGTTCAATGCAGTGGATTGAACCGTTAAACCCAAATCGGGCTCCTGGTGATGCCGGAACAAGGGGGCTCCCGGGGGCAGGCGAGGATGGGTCCCGGGGGGCAGGCGTCTCTCTCTCTCTCTCGGGTTCTTGGTCGTGTTTGGTTCGTCCGCAGACGCGGCCGCCCCGACAGCCGAGCACCACGGCGGCTGCCCCGGGCCGCCAGCAGGGCCGGGTCTCCTGCGTTCCTCCTGCCTCTGGCAGGCGCGGTCTTCAAGGCAAGTGTGGTTAACGCCTAGTGTGATCTTGTTCAGTGCTTGTGGTCGCCTTGTCCTGCGATGATTCTGTTCAGACATATCAGCCATCCGTGGAGGCCCTGCACCATCTGCAGAGTTGCCGTGGCCCTGGTCGGGACAGAGCGGCAAGGACAGGGCGGCCGAACCAGCCGGCAGCCCGTGAGCCCCTGGGTCACGTGGGGGCGGCGGTGAGCGCCACGTGGGGAAGACCGCACAGACTCTCTTTTTACTTTTCTCCCTGGAAATCAAGACACAAATTCCAATGGGTTCTTTCTCTTGCACTGTTTTTTTTCTCATAAATTAAGGCTCGAATACCAGCAGATGGTTTTCCTGGCTCAACAGAAAGCCGTGTGCCCGGTGCCGTAGGGGAAAACCTCGCGTGACCTCAGTGACTGGCTTGTCCCTCGGCCGGTCAGCTCCCTGACCTTACCCCAGAGCGCCGCGTTAAAGCCGTGGACAAACTAAACCGGCCGCCTGGGCCCCCCCGCCCCCAAGGCAGGAGAAACCCTTGGGCCCCTGCTTCCCCCTCATGCTGGCACTTTGACAAGCCCTGGGAGATCTCCCGGGCAGCCGGTCCGCAGAGTCTCAGAACTGCCCGCACAGGGAGCACCCGCCAGTGTCCCCAGGGCTCGCCCGGGGCGTTTCGGGGCGCTCGCGCCAGCGCTGGGCTGACGCCCGTGGGCCCGCACGCGCGGCTGTCTTCTGGGAAAACCGAGAGGCACAAAGAGTGTTTCTGTGCGGCCGTTCCGAGTCTGTCTTGTGGGTTCAGGCTCAGCCGGCTGCCCTCCCTCTTTTATTGGCCGGGAAAGCTGCCCCACCTGATCTGTGAGTTTGCCTGCCGCAGGGGCGGAGGCCTCAGCCGGCCGGCGCTGGATTGCATCTAGCTGGAAGTAGCCAGGCAGCTCTTGTTTGAAAACCCCTGGGCCGGGAGCGCCTGGCCGTGTTCTCCCCTGGGACGCGGAGCACCCGGCCTCCGCGGGACTCGCCGGCTCCGGGGCCCGGTCGGTGGTGCAGACGCCAGACGGCCTGGGGGACCATGGCCCGCGCGGCCCTGCAGTACGCCGGGCTGCTGCTGGGCGGCGTGGGCCTGGTGGGCACGGTGGCGGTCACCGTCATGCCGCAGTGGAAGGTGTCCGCCTTCATCGGGGCCAACCTGGTGGTGTTCGAGAGCCTGTGGGAGGGGCTGTGGATGAGCTGCAAGAGCCAGGCCCCCTTCCGGCTGCAGTGCAAGGTCTACGACTCGCTGCTGGCCCTGCCGCCCGACCTGCAGGCGGCCCGCGGGCTGATGTGCGCGGCGGCCGTGCTGGCCGCGCTGGCCTTCGCCGCGGCCGTCCTGGGCATGAAGTGCACCCGCTGCGCCGGGGGGGACGACGACGCGGCGAAGGGCCCCCTGCTCCTGGCGGCCGGAGTCGCCTTCGTCCTCGCGGGCCTGGTGGTGCTCACGCCCGTGAGCTGGGTGGCCAGCGGCGTCGTCCGGGACTTCTACAACCCCACGCTGGACGACGGCCGGAAGCGGGAGCTGGGCGAGGCCCTCTACCTGGGCTGGGCCTCGGCGCTGGCCCTGGTGGCCGCGGGGGCCGTGCTGTCCTGCGTCTCCTGCGCCCAAGGGGAGAGCCGCAGCTACAGGTACTCCCTGCCCCCCCACCGCGCGACCCCCCGGAGCGGTCCCGCGGAGAAGCAGCCGCTGAGCGTGTACTCCAGGAGCCAGTACGTGTAGGTGGGCGCCGGTGGGCACTCGGCCCGCGGAGCCACGCGCCTGACCCGGACGCCCGCTGCCGTCTGGACCGGGAGCCCGCGGGGACGCGGGTCTGCGCCTCGGCACGGCGGGCACCCCTCACGCCCCTCCCAGGACGCCCGGCAACACAGCGCGGCTCCCCCGGCAGCTCCCGGCAGAGCGCCAGACCCACTGTGCGCTTCCGCTGCAGCGATTTGCTTTCTCAAGTGGTTCCTGCATCTCTTCTCTCTCATCGGCTTCTCCAGAATGAGGTTGCTAGAGACTATTGTTTCACAGCTGCGATTTCTCTGGGACACGGCGTTGCGCAGGCAGAGGCGAGAGCGTCTCAGATAAATAGAGGCTTATCTGGTTGTACTCTGAATACAATGCTGATCCACTACACTGAACACACAGAATCCCACTGCTGCTTTTCAGGGGACTGGGGAGGAGATGGAAGACTGTTAATACGAATTGTTTAAGAACAGCTTAACAACTAATGCCCTGGGTTTATAATGGAGGTTTAAGAAAGTCTTTAATCAGCAAGATAAAGGAAACGAGGAAGCTCTCTGATATGCATTTCCCCGACACCCGTGTGCTCCCTCCCACCCCGCCCCCCACCCCAGGGCCTCTGGTTCTCCGCATTCGCGTCTCTTAAACCACTCGCATTTCGTCCGGAGCTCTGCATTCAGACGCCTTCCCAGAGCTGTGCTAGGACGGCGACAGAACTGTGATCTAAGAAACACTAAAGACTCCAGGGCAGTGAAATTCTTTGCCCGTTAAGTTTCTGTGCTTGCGAGAGAGGCGTTTGTATAAGAAATCATACGTGTGTGTGAATATCTGAACAGCTACGTGAATACAGACCTGGGGTTTTTATCAGTGGAGATAAGAGGACCGAAAAATAAGGTGTCGTAGTTGTATTTGCTCACCAGAAACAAACACACAAACCCCGGAAACCACACGTTGATCTCTCTGAGCCCCCTCCTCCCCCGGTGAGTGCCCAGGTCAGGAAGGTCGTTCTGTCCGTCGGGTGATTCTCGTGCTTCCTCCGCGTGGGTTCTGTGTTCCTGAGGCACAGGCATACGTGTTCTGTGTGTTTCTAGGCATTTCTAGAAAAATGTGTCCTAGTGTTTTCCCCAAATCTGATGCAACTGATCATCTGATTTGAAGGCCTGTAGCTACACTTTTTTAGCTTAAGTGATTGTGTGTCATTTGCTTTATTTCTTTTATATTAGTAAATTTGTCTTTTATATAAACTTTTCACTATTCCCCATTTTTTTCCTGTTTTATTAAATTGGAATGATGTTTTGAAAACCTGATGTGGCGGGGTCTCTGATTTTAAACAGGACATCAAGGTCGTGTTTTAAAGGGGAAGGCAGGTTTGGCACTAATCCTGGAGAACATAACGTAACATGTCCGCCCCACAATCAAGGCAGGCACGCACTCGTGTTTGACGAATGTGACACACTCGGACTCACCGAGATGGCGCTGTGGGTCCCAGCGCACCTGTGCCCCCGCTGCAGCCGTGACGGCCGCCCCTGCACACACCCTCCGGGGCTCCCACGCCCCTCCCACGAGGAGCAGCAGTGGTTCGTGCTCCAGGGTGAGGGTTGGAGCCAGGACCCTCCCCCTCGGCATGAATCATATCCCTAAACGTTTTATGGGGTTTATACGACGAGTTCAGCTCACAGACGAGGAGACCTTGGAACGGCCCATTGTTCCCAGGCACATCCAGGCCAGTAAGAAGTTTTATGAGTTTATTCGAGCCCAACTGATGACAATCACCGGGAAGCAAAAGCTCAGCCAACTGAGAGAACGCTCTGGAGCGTGGCAGCGTTGCAGCTCACCCCACACGCACGGGAGGGGAGAGGAGGAGGGGGAGGGGAGGAGGGGGAGGGGGAGGAGGGGGAGGGAGAGGAGGGGGAGGGGAGGGGGGAGGGAGGGGGAGGGGAGGGGAGAGGAGGAGGGGAGGGGAGAGGAGGAGGGGGAGGGGAGGAGGGAGGGGAGGGGGGAGGGGGAAGGGAGGGGAGGGGGAGGAGGGGGGGGCACAGGGACCCATGGGTGGAAGACGAAGGGGGTGGGGAGAGCAAAGTGGGGAGGAGTTTCCAAGACGGATGAAGAGTAAAACAGAGAGACACCCGCTTCCCTCCCTCAGGTGGGGCAGGGTCGTTCACACGTCCCCGAGGCAGCGCCTGGGGTGCTGCTGGGGAACCAGATCCCCGGGGGGCCCCGGGGCCTCCTGCTCGGGTGGAGGCCGAGCCCCGGGGGCCTGGGAAGGGGCACCCCTGTGACCTGTGTGAGGGGTGTTGTCTGAGGTGCTAGGAGACCGCAGGCAGTCTCAGGGACAGCAGAGGCTGACGCTGGTCAGGGAGGCCACCGGCCTCATGCATGACCCCCTGCCACGACCCGCTGCAGTCAGGGACTCCTGTGTCCGGGCTGCCCTGGGTGGCGACCCTCTGTCTCCGGGTGTTCAAGGCTGCCCCGAGGGGCCTCACCCAGCCGGCCAGGGTTGGGGGGCCCCTGTTTGGTTCACGACTGGTTACCCCACAGCCAGGAGGAAAAGTGAGCACTGTCTGGCCTCACGGCTCCTGCCCTTTCCCTTCGGAAAAGTAGGCTTCCCTCCGCGGGGCACAGCTTGTCAGCTGCACCGTGCCCGCGGGCACACAGGCTCCGCTGCCGGGGTCCGGGCCGTTTCCGTGTCTCCCGGGGCTGATGGCGTTGCTCAGCGCAGAGTGCCCACCTGTCCCAGGCGGCTTCGCCCTGGGGTCAGACCACCCGTGGAAACAGGAAGAGCGGACGGACTGCGGGCCGCGGAGGCGCACACTCAGCTCTCCGAGTGCCGGTCTGGACCACACGGCTTCCGCTCGCAGAGCCCTTTGGGGTGTCCCCAACTCCGCTCAGCCGCCCGCCCACGCCCGCCCCCACGCCCCCAGGACAGAGCGGCAACGCAGCTCCCCCAGGAAATCCCGTCTCCGTCCTTCACGCAGTGCGTGCCAGGCCCGCCCCTCCCGCCTGCGTCTCTTGGAGGGACGCTCGGTGGCCTGCAGGTCAGCCCAGACGCCCCGGCCGGCCACTGCCAGCGGCTCCCGCCTCGCCCCCCGCACAGCACGGGTGCCAGCCAGCCGCACGGGTGCCTGGCCAGCGCGATGGCCGTCACAAAGGTGATGTCCAGACACGAGGACAGCGCCAACGGTCTCCCTCGGCGTCCCCCTAGGGGGGCACTGGGACTGAGAAACGGTTTGACTGGCGGCCAGCTGCGTGGAAAGGGGCCTTGCCCAGTGCAGCTTGACTGCAGAGACTTGCGGGGGGCAGGTGAGGGGATGAAAGGACGAGGAGGCAGAGGGCGGGGCTCCCGCCCGCACCTGGCCGCGGCCTCCTCCCCTCTGGCCGCACCTCCCGCTGCCCCTGCCACGAGGACCTGCTGCCGACCCCCCGGCCAGGACTCCGCCCCCGTGCACGGCCACGACACGCACGGCGAGTTCCGGGGAGAGAACTCAGAGGAGACAAGGTGTCCAGGGTGTGGGGCGTGGCAGGGAGGGCAGAGAGAGGGACGCGGGACTGAGACCCAGGCCACAGGCCCTGGGCCCCGGGCCACCACCTGGGTGCTGTCCGTCAGGCCCCTGTGCCCTCAGCGTCCCACGTCCCCACACGGAGTCCCGGCACCCCTCGGATCCGGGGGCCCGCGCTCCCCCTCCAGCAACATCGGCCGAGAGGGTGGCTGTGAAACCCACACTCCTTCGGACTTTGATGGAGTCTGGCTTGGAACCCGCGCCCTAGGAACCCACCTCTGCCTCTAACACACACCTGTGGGGCCCAGCCTTCCCTGGCGGTCCGCCGCCCCCAGGGCTGCGCAGGACGGCGGCCCAGCCCCGACCGGCGGTCACGGGGTCGCGACCTCTGCCGCCGAAAGAGAATGCCTGGACCTGCGGCGCGTGCCGGCTCCCGAGTCCCAAGGCGGGAGGCCCCCACGGGCCGCTCTCCCACGAGGCGGGTCCTCTGCACCCGGGGACAGACCCCAGAGCCGTCCTGCACCCCCTGACCTCACCGGTGACCGACGGGCTGCCGGCAGGACCCCTCCCCCTCCCCCACGGTGCCCTGTGGTTGTGCCCCACGTGACCTGTGACCTGTGACGTGCCGCCACCGTGGAGTCGGGGGTTCAGAGCATTCGCCCCCCGTCCTCCTGGCTGCACCCATTCCCGACAGGATAGCCCTCACTGCTCCGCCGCGGTCCCCGGCGTCTGGCGTCTGGCTCTGCCAGCACGGGGGGCGTGGACTCCTTCTGTCTGGCAACGCCTGCCAGAGCCACCTTTCCGAACAACGGGGGTCACGTTGCCGCCCCTCCCCCAAGGCCCCCGTGCGGCTCCTGGGCACAGGCCCTCCCCCGGCCCCGGAGTGGGCCTCGTCACCGGCCCCGGGGGCACCTCGAGGCCCCTCTCTCCGCCCCGCAGCCTCTGCACAGCCGGCCGCTCCCCAGGCCCCGATGCCGCCGGTTCAAGGGGCCACCCACCCCCGCGTCCAGAGTGAGGAGAGGCGTGTTGGTCGATAAGGCGCCCACTCAGGGGACGGGAACTTGGAGGTTCCTCAAACCCACCCTAAAGAGCCCAGAACTCGGGCTTCTTTCGGGTCAAGGGAAGAGCTGGTGGGCGGGACAAGAGGTGATTGACATGTAGGTGCCACCAGGGATCCCAGGGCCAGCCTGAAATCTCCGGATCTCTCAGTTCAGGCCCATCGGCCCCAGTGGATCTGAGTCGGTCTCGAGGTCCCCGAAAATCTTTGACGAACAACCTTCATTTTTGCACGGGGTCCCATGGCCTCAGCAGAGGTGCCTGCTGGCAAGGGGCTCCTCTGCCAAAAACTGCCCTGCAGGCGGACTCCCCACAGTGACTGGCATTTCTGTCCGAGAGCTGCGGGCCCAGAGGCCGCGGGGAGACGCTGGCAGGGACCGCGGCTGAGAGAGAGCCAGAGGGAGCGAGCACTTGGCCCCGCTCACTGACGCCCGCCACCTTCTCCCCGGAGGGGACTGCGGGTTTCATGTTCCCACCAGGGCCTCCTCCCTGGACACCCAGGTCCTTCCTGGTTCAGAGAAGGTCTCCGGCACTGCAGCCCCTCCCCCCGAGCCGAGGTCGGCCGGGTGCCAGGCCCGGCAGCGGCTGGGGCCCAGCCAGCGCACAGCCCGCGGGGCCTTCTGCTGAGCCGCAGGTTCCGCCAGATTCCAAGAGGAAAGGACGGCTCCACCCCCGGCCAGGTTCGCTGGGCTCTGCAGTCACGAGGGGCCTGGGTTCCTGGAGCAGAGGCCCCAGGCCGGGCCCGAAGCACCGCGGGGGGTGGGGTTGGGGTGGGGGTGGGGCACATATGGGCCCCCCGGCTCCACACACAGGCGGCCCTGGGAGGCAGGAGAAACCGTGCTCCTCTGCAGCCTTAGAGGGATAATCTCGGGGCCGGAGAATCTGGGGACGGTCGCAGAGGTTGGGGTCCCCTTGGTCTGGGGCCTCAGGGAGCCTGGAGACTGAGTGAGAGGGTTCGGGGGACTGGGGCCACACAGACACCCCCCGAGGTTCCAGGCCAGAGGGCAGCCAGCAGGGAGGGGCCCTGCCGCCCCGGGGTCAGCTGCCACTCGGCACGCTGACTCACCTCCTCACATGGGGAGAGATCTGAGACCCACGTGGGAGAAGCCACGCGGGACCGACGGGCAGAAGAAGCCGGTGCGCACCGAGCCCCGGGCCCGCGGGCCCCCGGAGCGGCCAGTCTCCCGGGAACCAGAGGGCGAGTCTGGCCCAGACCAGCCCCGGTGAGAGCCAGAAGCCGACCGACTCTCGCGTCTCCGAGCTCCTGGGACCTGAGGCAGCAGGTTTACACCCGAGACAGCCAGCAGGGGCCTGGGAATTCGGGGAGGCCTCTGCACCCCTGGAAATGGGACGCTCAGAAGGCCAGGTGGGAGAAGAGCTCAGGACACAGAGCAAACACAGACAGAGGTGGTTCATGAGGGAATATGAAGAAGGGCTGGAGACGAACTCATGGACCTGAGAGGCACGTTCGGGGGGGGATGGGCAGATGGGAGGGGGGCCACCCCTTGAAAATAACGCCCAGTCGTGCAGAGACAAGGGCTCACGGGGGTCCTGGGGAAAGTTTAAATGAAAGTTTGTAGTCAACGTTAAATTTCAGGTACAAGATAAAAACATATTTTACCACCAATCATAACAAATTACTTAAAAACCAACAAAAAAATTTGCCTTCCCTCAAACACGTTAAACCACAGACCTGGAAGCCAGAAGGTGGTGAATTAGTGAGTCGAGTCCGTGAGAGAACAAGGACCC